AATTCATGTAATTAGGTCTGATTTGCCAGAAATCTGATTACCCCGGAATCAATCCCTGTTCCCTTCTTCGTTAATCAAGAAGAACCCAAATCTTTATTTTTATTCGCTCATTCGCATTAGTTTAATTTCCATTCAACCAATCAATCTTGCACGACGTATTTATTTTATTTTATGTTTAATCGCTGAATTTGGTTAATCTTTAATTCTCTTTTGTCCGTCCCTGTGGAGACGATACTTGTACTTTCACCACTATTCTACTATTAATTTAAGTGCGAGAAAACTCACATCATCTACCTCGCCCCCACTCTCTTGGAACATGTGATCATCATTTTCCATCTCATCTTCAATACCCAAACCTACCTCAGTAGCACCATCATCATGACTGATCTGCTCCATGCCCTCATCTGGTGTTGAGACTAATGGTAAATCAAATGGCTGGGGGGCTTCTGTATGAAAATCACAGTGATTTGTGACTTTATCAGTTACAGCTTGTACTGTTTCAAACCATTTCCTGTATTCTTCGAAAAACAACTTGACACTATTATCTTCTTCTTCATCTTCAAACATAGGTGGGTCTTCAAATGCATCAGGAAGTGTATCATCCATCATATTCCCACCATCATAGTCTGACTCGCTCACGTGATCATCCCTATTGGTCTCCACGAATTGGTCTTCTACCAGATGGCTCCTTATGGTATTTATATGCTTCATGATGTTTGAAGTGCTCTACTCCATGGCTAAAGAGCTTTCCCTCATATACTTTAGGCACTCAGACAAAGTTTCTGAAAGTGTATTCTTACTCTGATTCTGTGGTTCATTACTTGGCAAGGATGTAGGAATGACTAAAACGTTTGTGTTTGTAAATTGTGGGGAGGAGGAAGTGGGGTATGCAGTTGCCCAATAAGGATGGTCATTTGGAGGAATGGGGCAAAGACATGAATGGTGACCGCTTCCACAGAAGGAACAAATGCTATTTTTAGGAAACCAATCAACCAATTCTTAAGGACTTTTAGTTCGAATGAGAAATTACATCATGGAGCCTGGTTTTGTTCGAGGATATTGTGGATAAGGATAATGATTAGGAGAATGAGATTGAGAGTATCGCACATTTGGAAGAGGGTAAGAATAGGAAGATGGAAAATTTTGTGGTGTGGAAGAATAATATTGATGAGGTGTGTAGAATTGAGGAGGAGGAGGAGGAGGAGGAGTGTAAGGAGTGTATGACGTATATGGTGAATATTCCATGGAGGTTTGAGGGTAAGGAATTCCTTCAGGAATTTCGCTGAATGGGTTCATCACATGCCTCTTTGAAAATTACCTCAAAGGTTAGCACAGAAAAATCCTACGGAAAAACAAAAAGAAAACTAACTAGAAAAAATCTCGCTGAAGGTAATTAACCCTTAAAACCGACACCGTCCCCGGCAACGGCGCCAAAAACTGATGTGAGTTTTCTCGCACTAAAAATAGATCGTAATATAGTGGTTTAAGTATGAGTATCGTCTCCACAGAGACGGACAAAAGGGAATCAAGAATTAATTAAATTCAGCGATTAAAAATAAATAAAATAAATGCGTCATGCGAGATTAGTTGGGTGAATTGAAATTAAACTAAAGCGAATGAGCTATTAATTAAAATAAAAGGTTGGGTTCTTCTTAGTTAATGACGAAGGGAACATGGATTGATTCTAAGGTAATCAGATTTCTGGCAGATCAGGCTTAATTACATGAAATTAATTTAATTGAGTCTAGCTAATCAATACTAAGTTCTTACCGCTCTTGCTGCGTAGAGTACAATAATTTAGAGGACCAGGCTAATCTCTCATGCGACAGGATCCTACATTATTGCCAAGACGAGCGAACTTACGACCACTTAATCGTTACTAATCTCTTAGCGAACGAATAAGTGTGTGTGAATGTATCTCAAAATAAACTAGATCTCTCTTAATTTATTCTACAAACAATTGTATTTCTAGCGGCCATTCTAGGTTACAAGAGATATCAGTTAAATTATTCAAAAACAAATTAAACGACATTCATGCAATTAATCCATCAAGAATCTAGCCATACATCATGATTAACCACTTCATCAATCTCAAATCCCTAATTAAAACTACTCCCGACTCATAATTGAAGAATCAAGAGAATTGGGAAGAATAGAAATAATTATCATTAATTAAAAGGATGGAACTTACAAAGAATCCCAAAAGATTGATGAACAAGACTGAAAAACTCTCTTAATTTCATGCTAGACACTCTCTATAAGCGTCCCCCTTCAAAACAGGGGTTTACAGGCTGTTTAAATAGGAAAAACGAAGTAATTCGGGCGAAATTAGGACTCCAGGAGGCACACACGTCCGACAGACTTGTGCGTAAAAACGTTGGACGCACGCGTGTGTGGATGCTAGTGAGTTTTCCGGCTTCTCTAGTCCGAATTGGACAAAACTTCCTTCATGAATGTTGTAGATAGTGAAGTCCTCTATCCACCAAAACTTGCCGAATTAGATTTGAATCATCCAATAAAGAGATATGAACAAAATAGTGGAATGTCTCATTCTGAAATCGCAACAGGGATCATCTGATTTCATCGTCTGTTTTCACCTTCTTCCTCTCAGATTATCGCAATTATGTCTTCATATGATTTGTAGCCGTTGAAGTTGTCTGTAATATGAAACTTGAATCGTGTCCTATAGATTCTTCCACAAAGTTATATGCTTGTACGATTGACAGAAGGTCATCCTGAATGTCGTTTTCAAGTTCTATTTGTCTTTTTTGACCCCGTAGCCAATCCTAGAGCTCATTTGTCATCAATTTTTCATCGTGAACATCCTGGTGACCTCCCAATCTCTCAATTCACCCTCGAATGCTTCTCGAATCATCCCGATTGCTTCTCAAGTGATAGTGCCGGGCTCTAATTCCTGATTTTGACTCCACACAATACAAAACTCGAACCAACACCCGATAAACGTAACTTGAGCTAAAATTGAGACTTATAACACCTTAAAGCTAGAAAAACCATCAACAGCCGATCCCAACACACATCAAATGCGTGTCAAAATACGGACTTATCAAGTAGCGGTGTCACTATAACAATCAGTGACATGGTGGGGCTGGTGGATAGTGACTCATTTGATGGGAAAAGGTGGGCAGTGACGATAGTCATTGGCCGACGGGGAGGCGGCAGTCACTGGTCGGTGAGACAGTGACAGTCACTAGTCGGGGGTGCTGTGGCAGTCACTACTCACTAGCTGGGGCGGTCTCTGGGCGAAGGACGGTGATGGTCACTATTCGGAGGGAGGGCGGTAGTCGGCTGGAGCAAGTAACTGGACGGAGCAAGATGGTTAGTATGGCTGGAGCAAGTCACTTAGCGGCGGTCACTATGGTCGGAGCAAGTCATGAGCGGCGGTCACTATTGCCGGAACAAGTCACTGGACGGTGGTGCAGCTAGACTGCTGGCGATAGCGAGGGTAACAATGGCAGTTGTTGTAGGCGGCTAGAGAAACTCTTTCCTTTTTTAGCATTAAAACTCATCAATGACCTTTTTAGTTATACATGTTTTTTCTTTGATGTGTAACAGATTATTGTGTAATAAATAGGTAGTCATATTGTTGGACTTTTGAAACTTTACTCACTTTATTGGAAATCCTTAAATTAATAGCAATAGTTGAATAAAAAGGCCTTTTTTAAAAGTATTAATTAACTATTTAATTATTTAATTTATAAAACAATCGTAATACATATTCCTACAACCTAATTCTAGTAATCTACGTACATTACTTAGTGGGTGTTATGTTCATTTTTGTTATTCGCATAATTTTAATAAAATAGGTTTTCTCATATATTGTATGGGACAATATATATATATATATATATATATATATATATATATATATATATATATATATATATATATATATATATATGTATGTATTGAAAGGCTATTGAAAGAAAATAAATTATCCAAACTAGAAAAGAAACAAATTAAATCAAGAATGCCGGCTTCATCAACAACCGAAAAAGAAGAATTGATTTGACTAGCAACCATCATAGGAAACTCAATCGAGCAGGATTCGTCTGAACATCAGTTTGACCAACCACCGAAAAGGAGATCTAGTTGAGCGTTTTTCTTCTTTCCATAGCAGGTAGTGGTTCAGAGGGACGACGACTAATTGAAGCCTTAGAACAACAAGCTAATGTAGAAAAAGTTTTGCCAATCACGAATAACGAAAATTCTCCAGATGTATTACACTGATAACAAATTCACAGCTTCCGGACATTGCTAAGAGAATGACATACCAATACGTCCAAGAAAATCTAACATTATGGTTGATATAGTGGTCGGGTCTATATCACTTTGATCTTATTGTACTTTGACTATATTATATTTATTGACTTATATTTTAAATCTGTGAGGGAGAGAGTAGTGCGTGTAGCAAGGAGAGTGTGAACTGACTTAATAGTGTGTAGGTGAAAGCGATGTAGGAGATCAGAAACATTTATACTGGGAAAAAATAATAGACATGTAGGAGTCTTGACAGCCTGAACCCCCAAGAAATAGTGAAGATCACCGGATCTCTCATAGCAAATTGGGAAGCAATAAGGCTAATGAATGAATTAACAACAGAAGAAGAATCTCCGGTAATAATAATGTCATCCACATATAATAATAAATAAACAACAGAAGAACCCTAACGATATATAAACAGAGAATTATTAGACTTACTACAAGAAAAAATATGAGATAGAAGAAAATTACTGAATCGATGGAACCAAGCTCGCGGGGCTTGCTAAAGGTGACGATTTTCAAAAATTTGGTATAAGTAAACTAGGATTAATGAAGAAGATTTTCAAAAAAATTCATCAAAAAATTTCACCGAAAACTATCCAAATAGCGACGGCCGATCAGAGCAACAATTTTTATGAAAGTTCGAGAACTTATTTGTCACTTAAATTCATAAATTTATGTTAGACGGAGTAAAAAGGAAATAACAGTACTCCCATAAAGATGTCGTCTATACAATTAGGTAGTTAGTTTCCTTCCTCGTCGGTCTCATGCTCTTGTGTGTGACGGATCGGTGTATGATTATTTCCTGAATACAGTTTTGCCTTCTTCTATTCTCTCTTCCCTCTAAGGCAGAGAGAACGAGGGTGGAGGGACCGAGGGAGAAATTTGAAAAGTTGAAACTGAAACCCTAGCAAGCGGTATGCTCTTTACTTTACTTTTATGTAAGGATTTCAGCTATCTATTCTTGAAGTTCCGTTTCCTTTAAAGATCACATCCCTATAATGGAGTTAATTTCAAATGTATTGGTTTTAACGTTTCCATTCTTTCTTTTTACCTTCTTCTTTTGAGTGTGGGGTGTTATATGAATGAATTGACTTTTAGGTGAACATCCAATTACAGTGATCAGTTCAAGTGTGGAATATCATCTTGTATATATGTATTACTCAACTAATGTGTACATTTCTTCATTTTTTGTATGTGCTTAGATGTCTGAGCAATCCAGCAATAGTGACTGGTCTTTTGACATAAAGGAGCTATTAGAGATAAGGACAAGATGTAGAGAGGTACATTACACAATCTATTATTAGTCCATTCAGTCTACAGCTTTTTCTAAATAGAAATATTTTTGGATCTTCAGGTTTCCATTACAACGATTTACAATCTCATTTAGCTTGGAGACCCACTTTCTGGTGGGTCTATTAATGAGTTTCTAGTTTTTTTTGTAGTTAAGGAAAGAAAAGGATTTGTTGAGAGACTCACAAATGCAGAGCTTTGAAATTATCAGAGTAATGGGTTTGCATTGTTAAAATGACCATAAACCCAAGGATATCATGTTTTTTGTTTAAAAAGTTTTCATGTAAAAATTTCTTCTTTGCAGAAATTAGAAGAGCAGGTACAAACATTATCTTGTGCCCACTTGGAGGACAAGAAACGGATCCAGGAGTTGGAAAGGGAACTAGATAACTGCTCACAAGAATTAGGTATTGATTCCAAAACCAAGATTGTGGCAGACCTGAAATACTTGCTTTGTGTGTTGAAAAGCTATGATGCATTGCAATCTTTGATTCTTTAGGAAGAAGGATATCAGGCCTTGGACTGGTTCGGTTCCTTGATACTCCCTCCGTCCCTTAAAACTTTGCCATCTTTCCTTTTTGGGACGTCCCAAAAAACTTTGCCACTTTCCCTTTTAATCCATTATTTTGTGGTTTCTGTCAATTCTCTCTCCTCTGCACAAATCTCAACCACACAATTTTTACTTTATTATTCTCCGTGCCGGTCAACTTTGGCAAAGTTTTAAGGGACGGAGGTAGTATATTTTTAGGAACATTTGAAGAACTGTTAATTTCATAATGGTTCAGTTTCTATAGTTTTTTAAGATCCAATACACAAAGCGTTAATGTCCTTACAATTTGGTTCTTCTACTTATTGGTTAACTGTTAGAAAAAACCAACACCAAGCTAAAACCATTTAACTAGTAAGGGGGTGTTTGGAACTGATTCTGCTTCTGCTTCTGCTTCTTTTTTAAAGCAGAAGTTGGAGTGTTTGGGTGAAAGTGCAGAAGTGATTCTGATGCTCTAATTTACTCCTAGAATCAGTTTTTTTAGAAGCTGGGGGTGACCAGCTTCTGAAAACTAATTCTAATTCTGAATCAGTTGAGAGAAAAGATCAGGTGAGAAGTTTGATAGAACAAGCTCCCGATGTGCAGAAAATTCACAGAAGATATTAAGCAAAACAACTGAAATCTTATTGAAGAAGAAAAGTTCCGTAACAATGGCCGAAGCCCCCAATGAGCCGTAGCCCTCCAAAAGAAAGAGAAAGTTCTCGATCTTCCCAAAATCCCAGATTAAAATGTCTAAAACCGCCCCCTGACTACTCCCCAGTTTTGTCTATTTATACTAACTCCTACACTTATTATTACTCTTGGTTTATTAGGCCCAATTCCTAACATTCCATTAGGCCCAATCCCTAACAATACTTCCCCCCCTAAACATCCACCTTGCCCTCAAGGTGGTTGATAGGACACAGCTTCAATCTTTATCTTTTCTTTCATCCTAGCACTTCTTCCTTTCCAATACTGACATGATTTCTGCACCCTTAGCTTGGCTGATTCCATTTTTTTTCCTATGTGTTTCACAGCAGAATTACACCACTGCCATGAAATTTTATCCATAATTGACTTGAAAACTTCAGGGTACTCCTTTATAAGCTCGTTCCTTCTGCTTTCAACTATCTGTACTTGCTTCTGCTTTGTGCTTTGTCCTTTGTCCTTCACAGTACAACCAACACCCATCACCTTGAATAACATGATTCAGCCCTTGTTTCTTCCATTTTATGATCTGGTTTTGGAAATTAACTTCCATAACACCTAGATCAGTCAACCATTCCAATCCTAGCACCATGTCAGTCCCACCAAGCTCCAACATATAAAAATTCTGTTGAATTTCATTTCCCTGTACATTCAGCTTCATTCCTTCACATCTACCGTAGTTAGGAATCAATTCTCCATTGCCTATTTGTACCATATATGCCTTGATACTTTGGAGAGGTATATTCCATCTTTCTACCAGTTGGTGGGAAATAAAGTTGTGGGTGTGCCACTATCAATGAGTACATTTACTGTTTTTTCACCTTCATGCCATTCCAGTTTACCTTTTACCTTAAAGGTCTTCACAGGTGTTATGACTTTCTCAACACTTAAAGAAAACTGCATGGTCTTCAATTCTAGAGGTGTGGTCTTATCCCTACCAAATTCCAGTGATTCAACTTCAGAATCAGCTTCACCCTCTGAATTCTCCACTAAGATCATTTTATAGTTCCTCATCTTGCAGACATGTCCTCTTCCACAATTTTCACCACATTTAAAACAGAGTCCTTTCTTGCTTCTGTTTAGTAGTTCTTCTTGAGATAGTCTGGGACTTGCCTCATTAGATACGCCGCTCGGACCTTCCTTCCTGCTTTCATCTCCCCATTTCTGGCCTGAAGATTGGATGATAGGAGTAGTCTGCCATTTCCTCCTTCCTTCATCCTTATTCTTCATAAACAAGGTTTCAGAATTCTTGTTCTCAATCGCGGATGCAGTATCCATAACTTCTGCCAACGTTCTAGTACGATGTAACTTCAATTCTGCTCTTATATCTCTTTTCAACCCCTTAAGAAAAGCTCCTCTCAAGACTTCTTCAGTTAAGTGGCCTTGTGAAGCTATAGCCTTTTCAAATTTATTTCGGTACTCGGTACTCCTGAATTGTCCCCTTCTGCTTCATGCTAAACAGAGGCCCTAGTGGATCCTGTACCATGTCAGGTTGAAATCGCTTGGTCAAAGCTTGAGTAAAAGAGCCTCAGTTCTGATGCGTAGCCTGCCTCTCCCACCATTGAAACCAGCTGAGAGCTTGGCCCTCCATGGCCACTACAACCACATCAATTTTATGTCTCTCTTCAGTTTGATTCAAGCGGAAATATCGGTTCATCCTAACCAACCATCCAGAAGCATCTTTTCCATGGAAAATTGGTAATTCCATTAGGCCCAATCCCTAACAAAGTTCCCCTTAAAATGAGAAGTGAGAAGTAATCTCAGCCCTTGGATTTGCATCTAATCTTACAATGCAGTAAACTTATAGACTGAATATAGGAACTTATAACCAATAAATCATAACTTATAAAGCTCTTCATCATAATTACGGAAATGCCACCACGTCAAAAAAAATTTGAAGGTTTCTTGAGTTATTTTTTGCGGTGGCATTTTCGTAATTATTTTCGAGGGGGTCTCTAAGTTATGATTTATTAGTTAAAAGTTCATGTTTTTAGTCTATAAGTTAAATTTCGCAGTTCTCAGCCTAAGGGCACTTCTCACCTGAGTTATGTTTTTAGTTTCACCAAATGCACAATATTATTCCACATAATACAATCCAACGGTCCACATTTGTTCTCATCTCTCTCCTGGGAGTCCATTCTTACCGGAACCGCTCCCTATATATATATGCATTTGGTGAAACTAAAATGTGCATAAGATGATATTGAAATGTCATCATTTTCATCATTTTCATTTACCCCAATGCCGCAAAGGCTCCCACCTACGGTGGGGTAAGGGGGGTCGGATGTACGCAGTCTTAGCTCTGTACTAAAGCACAAAGAGACTGTTTCTGGATGACCCATAGTGAAAATCGCGTCCAAAGTTGCATGGACCGACTGCTGCTCCATAACAAAGAAGCGTAGACAGTTTAGTGAGCCATTTTGCTTTATTCCATCATAATCTCAAGCCAAAAAATAATGAATCTTTGGCTCCATTGCAAATGATGGAAATATGATATTGAAATGTGCAGAGTAAAAATTTAAACTCATGTGTGCATTAAGTGAAACTGAAATGTGCGAAATAAAAGGTACAAAAATAACATCACATCGTACCTTTTATTCTGCACATTTCAGTTTCACCTATTGCACATTTCAGTTTCACCTAATGAACAATTCAACTGCACATAATGCCACTGTATCATACCATTTGTGTTGCACATTTCAATTTCACCTAATGCACATTACAGTTTCATCCAATGCACATTGAATTTCATTTAAAGCAAATCTAACGATTCTGATTCATTTTCATTTCTCTCCTAAGATCATGTTCTTATTTGAACCAAAACATATATATATATATATATATATATATATATATATATATATATATATATATATATGATGTGAACGATGCAAATTATGGTTCATAGCGGTGCACATTTATGGTAGATAATGCAGATTTCAAATGGGCAGAATAAGTTGAATCTATTTACAAAATGCCACCACATTTTGTAATTGTAGTGTACATTTTTGTTTCACATAATTCACAATTCCATATCTAACACTCTAGATTCATTCTCATTTCTCTTCATGGATCGCGTTTTCATTTGGTCCAAATTATATACTACGTATATAATTTGACATATGAGTTCTTTAATGGTTGTTGCAATTATTTTTAGCAGGAATAGAAATGTGAACCTTTGAACTACAACCAAGAAGCAAAATATTAAGAGATAGTAACCTATATGCAATAACCGTCTTATTGATTCAATTTCGGAAACCCAACCCTTAGAGGATATTGATGCATTTCACTTTTAAATGGTTTCAATCTTGTTATATACTCCCTCCGTCCTGTTGGAATGTTCCCGCTTTCCTTTTTTGGATGTCCCGTTGGAAAGTTCCCATTTCCCTAAATGGAAAGTTATCCTACATAAAAACATGGTCAAACAGTGCAAAACAGTGTCGAAACAGTGCCAAACAGTGTCGAAACAGTGTCAAAACAGTAAAATTTACCCTCTGGTAAGTTTATTTCCTTAATATGTGTGTATGTCAAACCGGGAACATTCCAACGGGATGGAGGGAGTATTTATTATATTTATAATTATCTGTGTGTGCGACTGTGCGAGTGTGTCACGTGTTTATACATGCATGCATGCATACATAGTTACATACATAATTACATACATACAAGCATGCATGCATTCTTGTTTTGTTTTAACATCACTTTTGCCAAAATATTATCTTGACCAGTAATATACGTAGTATATTTTATCCATATTACTAATTTATAACAAGTTGGTATTTTGAAAATATGCTTTTATTGAAATCTGACACCATTTTATATAATATGATTTGTTTTTATATATTAGTAAAAAATATGATCAAACTACAGTATGAGAGTAAATGAGTAATGCAAAAGTTGTAGTGGTGCAACTAATGATACGTACACAGAAATTTGGAGTAGAAATATAGTTGATACTGTATAGAAAACTAGAGCAATACAGCCGAGACCAATTCGAGAGGGCCTCGATCTCTCCCAGATCCCAATTCTTACTCAAATCCCGACTGCCCTCTCCCTATTCTATTCCTTCTATTTATTCTTTTCCAATGAGGCTTCCCCTCAATCTTACTAATTACATGGCCCAGCCCACTCCTTTATTTACACCTTATTAACATATTTGTTATTGTTTCTATTACTTCTCTCTCCATAACTTCAGGTCCGTATCAACTAAGAAGAAAAAACTATGTTATTCTTACATTACTTTAGCTTGGGATGATCTTCTGTAACAAGATACTTGCAATAGATTACCTGCAGGATCAGCTCACATTAAGCAACTCAGACAAGGAAGTTTTGGAGGAAGAAACTGGGAGGTTAAAAGAGGAACTAGAGATTTCAAAGGCTGAGGGGTTTATGTTGTTGGAAAATTTGGAAAGCAAGGAGTTGGAGCTTCAGAGTTCATCTGTGTTAATAGAGAAACTAGAGGAGTCTATTTCATGCGTGGGATTGGAATATCAATGTGAAATTGAGAGCCTGAAGCTTGATCTAACAGCATTGGATCAAAATTGTCTTGAACATAAAAAGTCGCAAGAGCAGACAGCTCAAGGAAATGCATCGTTTCATGATTTTCAGCTTCGCTTCCAGAGTACAGGGGACTATATTGAATATTTAGAGAAGGAGAATGCAAATCTAAAGGAACAACTTCAAACATGTGAAAAGAACGTCAAAGTGTTTTGCCAAAATGTGGAAGAGCAATTTCCAGAATTGATAATTACTGGGCATGAAGAAGTGCCAGAGAATAATGCCAGGTAATATATACTCTTTTTTGCTTACATGTGTTCAGTATACAGATGGTGACTCGGAATATGAAAAATTTAACTGAATCTCAGCACCAGTGACTTCATGTTATTGAATAATGCAATTTAGTAATTGGAATATACGATTACGAAGTATATGTTTGTATGCATGTATTCTTCACATTGACTAGTGAATAATTCTATGAAAAGAAATGGAGATTTGGTGTGAGGTCTTGTTAGATAGATGGTGTATATACGTGAGGAAGCTTCTTTATCAGTCAAAACTGTGAAAGTTAGACACAATGTGTATAACTCAAGTCTTTTTCTCTCTTTCTCTCTACCCAAAGCTCATGTGGTGACATTTTGGGTCCTCTCCTTACCAAACTCGCTGTTCTAGGGGCATCCACGGTCAACCGTAAGGATGAGACAAACACAGTGTCTCATCAAATACAAAGATATGAATCTCTTTTGGCAAAGCTTAAGGTATGATTAAAAAGTGAAATCATCTACTACATGTCTGCATCAAGACTTGATTATGGTTTAATTTATAAAAAAAGTCATATTTAACTTTTATAGAGTTTATATAAAATGTTGGGTTAGGAAGAACTGAAGCTGGAAAGGTTAAAGGCAAAAGAAGAAGCAGAGGATTTAGCTCAGGAAATGGCAGAACTAAGATACCACATGATGGGGTTGCTTGAAGAAGAGCAAAAACGGCGTGTGTGCATTGAGCAATTGTCTTTGCTGAGAATCTCAAAGCTGGAGGCTCAGGTATCCAATAATTTTATACATTCTAGACCAAGGTGCTGATTGAGATAAAGACATGTTCATTTGGACTTAAATATCCTGGTCTGGCCCGTACCTGATTAGATAGTCTGATATGTTTAAGCATAACCCCGTCTAGTCTGTTTAAGAATGGTCCGGTCTTTTGTGTTCTAGTTTGATGTTATGTGTATTTTATTACGGAGTATTACTTAATGATGGTCTATCCTGGTCTGATGTGTTTGAGACTGGTTTTGTGATCTGTTGTGATCTGGTCTAGCTGGATGGGGTTTGATACAAGCCCAAGCGAACATGTCTTTTATTGTCATTGTAATGATATATATTATTATATTAATGAAGCTTGATAAAGAACGAAAGAAATCAGATGAACAAGAGCTTGTGAAAACTATCTCCACTTCTGAATTTGCCCCTGAAGCGTAAAACACTGGTTGTGCTTCTCGAGGGCTGACTGTGGAAACAAGAGGCTGTTCTTTTTTACTTGCCTAAGAGGGAATGCTGAGGTGTTGATGTTCTTCATGCTACTATCCATCTCCAACCCATTGGAATTTGATAAAACTGTATGTGCAGTAGGGATTAGAAGTTAGAAGTCAGGTTTTCATGTCAATTTTGAGATCTATTTTAGCCGGTTATGAGGCATGGAAAATAGACTGAATGCCAATGTTCCATAAAGGCCCATAGTACTTTCAGTTTTGTCAAATGAGAATGTGATCTATTGTTGAAAAGAATAAGAATGAATCTCGTGCTTTAATTGGAGAGTTGTGCATTGTCTATAATAGAAATGTAAATTGTCATGAATTAGCAAATTGTACATTGACATATTTGTAAATAACTCAGAAGTTTTTTGTTTTTGTTTCTGTAAACCGTGCTTATCTTAAACACAAATATGCATCACCATAAATAAAAACTGCAACATTTTGCAACATTCTCAATTTTCATTGGAACAACCTTTCTCACCTTAATCGGAATGTGTGTGTGTGTGTGTGTGTGTGTTTACTCTTTTTGTTCTTCAAGGTGTTCCAATTTGAACCTCTCATGTACTTCAAAATACATTAATTTTAATTATTAACAATTACTTAACTAATATTTGAAGTGATTATCTTTCACACTAGTCAAGCAAATACATGGAAATTGCAACTTTTGGTTCTAGGAAAAATAGAAGGAGCCTTACTACAATTCTAAATGTGTAAGAAGACTATCTTTCTTGAAAGCACAATCAGGCTTGATTACGGAAAAAAATGAGAAAGAATTGAAGCAATTTCTAATTTTTCCTAAAGATTCCATAGAAATAATTTGCTATATTACTTGCTGCGTAATAATTGTGAACCTGTTGGATAAATTCTTTCCTTAGCCGAATCCTAGGGCTCGCATCGCCGGACGCCGCAAGGCCTCTTGCTGTTTCCGCCGTTCGCATCGTCGGAGACCGCACGACCTCTTGAATCCCATGGGTTAATCGATTGGTCTCTGATCACTGGTAATTTGGTAAACTCCAATTCCTTTATGGGAGTTTAAAATCGCAGTCGTCTCTAGGGTCTTCCTAGGTTTTTGTTCCGGTGGCGCTGCTTGTCTGGAGGGGATTTCTGCGACTAAATCGGCGGCTATTACTATTCAAGCATGAGTGTGCTTAGCTGGAATTGTAGGGGGTTTGATAACCCAGCCACGAACCAGACTTGGTGCACGCGAACAGGCCTTCGATTGTGTTCTTGATGGAGACCAAGGTGCGTTGCCTGTGAGCGAAGGAGCTGCTGAGACTTCAAGGATTCCAGCATGCTTTTGGAATTGACAGTGAGGGCTCGAGCAGTGGTTTGGTTCTGGGGTGGAGAGATGAAGTCGAAGTTGACATAGTGAAAAGCGGGAGGAATTTCATTGATTGCAGAGTCAACTTGAAGATGATTGATTGTCCATGGCGTTTGACGGGTTACTCCGGTTTCCACGAAACGAGAAGAAGAAGGGAAGCGTGGGCTATGATGGAGGAGCTGGCGACGGATAGCAGCGGCCCGTGGATGATGATCGGAGATTTTAACGATATTCTGTTTGATTCAGAAAAGAGGGGTGTATACCTCATCCCCCATGGAGAATTCGAGGTTTCCGAGAGACTGTGCATAATTGCGGGCTACAGGTTTTTTCTTTCTCAGGCTAGCAATGGACGTGGGACAGAGGCAGGGGCACGACACATTGGGTGGAGGAAAACTTGATCGCATTCTGGTGAACGACACATGGTGGGACACGTTCATGGAGGCTCAAGCAGTTTCAGTGGAAGCCCCAACTAGCGATCATATGGCCCTCTACGTGAAGGTTAAAATCTCTAATCAAACTAGTAAAAAGAAGAAATTTAAATTTGAAAATAATTAGGTTAAGGAGGATGAATGCCGCTTGGTTGTTACCAACAGTTGGAGGACGGCTGCTCATGTCTATTAATGAAAGAATTGCTTTCTGTGGGATGAGCTCTTGCGATGGGACAAAGGTAGAAAGTGGGGGTTCAGACACCAGATCATGGCTTGTAAAAAGAGTCTGGCCTTGCTGCGGGGCAAGGAGGACAAATTGAGTGTGTTAGAATTTTTGAAAATCCGGACGGTGTTACAAATACTTCAGGAGAAGGAGAATCTTTTCTTAAACAGAGAGCAAAAGAATTTTGGCTTAAAGAAGGAGCTATTAATTCTCGATTTTTTCATAACGCCGTTAAACAACGTAAAAGGAAGAACAGAATGACAGGCATCAGGCAGACGGACGGTGCTTGGGTTATGGACAGAGGTGAACTGAGCTCTATTGTCATGAATTATTTTACTTCTCTTTTTCAGGCTCCGGAAGGGGATCAAACGGTGGATATTCATGGTGATTTTGTACAAGTGAACGAACGCCAGAATGAATTACTACTAAAGCCAATCTATGCAAAGGAGGTTAAAGAGGCGATTTTTTATATGCATCCGGAGAAGGCCGGCACCGAGATCGGATGGGATGAATCCAACATTCTTTTAGGCCTACTGGGATGTTGTAGGACCGGAGGTTTCGGCGCTGTATGCTAAAATGTTCGAATCAGGTACTCTAGCCGCTGACATTAATACTACAAATATTCTTCTAATTCCCAAAAAAGATAAGCCAGATTGAATGGGGGATTGGAGACCTATAGTGTTGTATAATGTGGCTTACAAAATTTTCTCAAATGTTTTGGCGAATAGATTGAAAGGTATTCTGAGCTCTTTAGTTGGAGAGAGCCGGAGTGCTTTTTTACCGGGAAGATCTATAATAGATAATATTATTGTGGCTTTTGAGACCCAACATTACTTGAAGCGGAAGAATAATGGGAAGGAGGAATTTGTTGCCCTCAAACTTGATATTTGTAAGACTTATGACAGAGTGGACTGGTCCTTCTTGGAAAATATTTTAAAAAAGATGGGGTTTAGTAGCCGTTGGATCCATATGATTATGGAGTGCGTTAGGACGGTTAATTATCATATCCAGTTTGATGGTGATTTTTTGGGCCCTATTGTTCCGGGAAGGGGGCTACGCCAGGGTGACCCTCTATCCCCCTATCTTTTTATTCTTGTGGCGGAGGGTCTGAATTGAATGCACTCATTCGAAAGGCTGAACAACGAGGAGATAATCATGGAGTTGCGGTGTGCAGGGGAGCTCCGCGGTATCACACTTATTTTTTGCTGATGATAGGTTTTTTATTTTTCAAAGCATCCGTCAATGAGTGTAATGCTGTGAAGGAGATATTGAAGGAGTATGAGGAGAACTCAGGGCAGGTAGTTAACTACGCCAAATCTACCTTGACTTTTAGCAGCAATGTTAATGAAGCTTTTTAAAGAATATGGATGTAATTTCTTTGGAGTTTTGCAGGACGGAGGCCATCAGAGGTACCTAGGGCTACCGAGCTTGGTGGGCCGAGGGAAATCCGCCATCCTGAGGTTCTTGCGGGATAGAATTTTTCAGAGGATAAAGAGTTGGAATAATCGCTTCGAAATGTGGTGCAGGCTATGCCCACATATGCCATGAATGTTTTATGCTTTCACGAGATCTATTTGACGAGATCGAAAAACTAATGAACGACTTCTGGTGGAAGGGAACAAAGTTTGACCAGAGAGGCATCAGATGGCAACGGTGGGAGCTTATGTGTAAGCCATAAGGGCGAGGATGTTTGGGGTTTAGAAAGCTGAAGGAATTTAATCTTGCTATGTTGGCTAAGCAAGGGTGGAGGCTTCTATCTAATCCAGATAGCCTGATGGGCCGTGTCCTAAAAGCGAGGTATTTTCCTAACTCGGAATTCTTGAGGGCCAAACTGGGAACTAACCCATCATATATTTGGCGAAGTATTTTTGAGACCCAGGACGTGCTAAAAAATAATATGAGGCGGCGGGTTGGGAATGGCAGGGAGGTACAAGTCTGGGCGGATGCATGGTTACCAGGTCTGGGGATGGTAAAGTCCAATCAGCTAAACCTGCTGGTATAACAGATATGAATGTAGCATCTTTAAGAGATATTACTGGAACAAAATGGAATAAGAACATAATAGCGGCTATTTTTAACGAAGAGGAAAACAAACTTATTAGTAGCATTCCTATCAGCTTTCAAGATAAAAAGGATGGATTTTGGTGGAGCAAAGAACAGAGCGGTGTTTTTACTGTTAAAAGCTGCTATAGGGCCTTTGACGTGCACTCGTCGTTAGGTGCACTCAAAATAAATAATCAATACAACACTAATACGTAGTATAGTGTAGTAAGGTTCGTATCCACAGGGAAAGGAATACTTTTATTTTATATAAATAATAACAAGGGGGGTTTAGATTTGTTTGGTTTAATAACACTAAGATAAACGACCTATATGAGTTTAATTCAATGAGATAGGGACTTGGTTTTGCTTTTATCCACTTAATGAAATGTTCGTCAATCCCGGTTATATCTTTAACTATCTTCCTCTCGAATACTCAATCGAGGAGTATATCCAGTTCATCGAGGGTAGTTATTAATAACGAGATGCGTTCATTAATAAAACTTACTATCGAGTCAATATAGAACAAGCGCCGTATATTAACTTGATAGTAGCAATAAACTTAAGATGAAAACGATTGAGATTGATAACCTCAACACAAGCGGTTTATTGGTTTAATCAATATAATTAATTCCCCTTGGCATATTAACCATGAGATGCATGCATTAATATTCCAAGTTTACTACCGTTGAAAGAACCGGATTAATAACAAGCGTATTAACCGATTGATTCTAGTAATATGGCATATGAGAAACAGTACTAGTTGATACTTTAAGTAATGTTTAAGATATTAACATGAAATATGAATAGGAATTAATCAATACTCAAGGAAGAATATTAAAATATATGAATCCTACTATGATTAATATCAAGATGTTAACTAATTGTTATCTTAGCAACACTCCCCAATATAATCATAGAGGAAGAAATAGCTATTACTATAACCAATGTCAAGATGTTAACTAATTGTCATCTTAGTAACACTCCCCAACTTTGATATAGAGATAGTATTTTGAAAGAAAGAATTAATATTCAAGGAAGAAGATTAAAGAAAATAACTCACAACTTACAAATTCATTAAGCTTCAAAGTAGCAAAACCAAGATGGAAGAGTTTAGCTCCTCATTTGGAGACTAAACATGATGAAAAATATAAAGAAATAGCTATTCTATACTGAGCTTAGATGTACAAGGGATTGGATATCTTTTTGTGAAGGAAAGGAGGTGTATTTATAGGTTTTTGGGATGGGATTCGGGTACTCGATCGGGTATATACATGGTACCCGATCGAGTATGTGTGTAACACCCGATCCGAGGCATACTCGACCGGTTCAGGCTATTTTCTAAGTGTATACCCGATCGAGTATATATGAATACCCGGTCGAGTATGCTTAGAAAGTGGTATTCGGGCTATACTCGACCGGTTTCAGGCTAGTTTCTAAGTGTATACCCGATCGAGTATATATGAATACCCGGTCGAGTATGCTTAGAAAGTGGTATTCGGGCTATACTCGACCGATCTTCGTTTGCAATTTAAAGGCATACCCGATCGGGTATGTCGGTCTACCCGATCGGGTATAGACATAGAATCGTGGCCAAAATCTTCCCTGCATGTTCCTTTGTCTTCGGATTTGATCCGATTTGAAGTTCCAACCTAATACCCGATCAAGTATAGCTAATACTCGACCGAGTATAGACCAAACTTCAGGATCTTCTTTTGTCTTTGAACTTTTGCACCTTCTCTTCACTTTTTAGGTTCACCAACTGTACTTTGGGTGACCAAAACCTGCTTAAGCTCAGAATATGTCTAATCTAACCTATTTACAAGAATTTAACAATCTAATCTATTACACCAAAAGTGTGTAATTTCCAAAGTAAAAGTCAAGCAAAACTAATTAAAAACATAAACATAGAAATGGAAATTACGAACGTATCAGCCTTGATGGAAGGAGCGGCAGTCGAAGGGTGGAACAGCTGGAAAGATTTATTGGAGCTTAAAATTCCTCCTAAGGTGAAATATTTTATTTGGCAGGTTTTGGATGGATCTCTTCCATCATTGGCGAACCTGGAACGGAAGGGAGTGCTGATTCAAAATATATGTAAAATCTGTTTGCAGGGAACTAAAACCTCGGATCATGCGTTGCGGCTCTGCCCGAGAGCGGCTGAAGTCTGGATGGAGGCGGGAGTGGATATAGGCAGTGAGGAGTCGTCCTTGAAGGATTGGATTCAAGAGGAGTTGGCTGCTCCGGACAAGGAATGAAGATATAAGACAACATTACTGGCCTGGAGCCTGTGGAAACGCAGGAATGCGTTCGTGTTGGAGAACGATTGGCAGAATACGGCTAGCGTTATCAATTGCAGCGCAAGTGTGCTGCGGGCTTGGAGAGATGGGCAACAGACTGGAGCAAAACCGAGGAGCAGTGTGAGGAATGAAAACCCAAGATGGAGACGACCAAGAACCGGGGGGCATTAAAGTTAATGTGGGCGCGACAATTGTCTGCAATGGGGGAATAAGAGCATGGGGTTGGCTTGCCAGAAATGATCAGGGTGATTTGCTGAAGGCGGGGGGCTTCATGCAAATCGGAATGGTCCCCGGCGGAAGCGGAGGCGGCAGGTATACGTGAGGCAAAATTCTGGAAGCTATCAAGGAAGGATGAGAAAATGTTGAGATAGAATCAGATGCACAAGTGGTTGTTCGAGGAGTCCAAAAAAGTGGAGGTATTACATACCTGGATGTGATTATTGATGACATCCGATTTTTACTTCAGAAAAAGAGTAGTTATGTGATCTCTTTCCGTAAAAGGTTTGCGAATCGTGCGGCTCATGCTCTAGCAAGAGCGCATGTTACCATCTCAGATCAATCTACTAGTTACAGTTTTATACCAGTTGTATTGTAAGCGCATCAGATTCTCAAAATGATTTCTTAAATTAATAAAGTATTCCAGTTCCGATTCAAAAACAATTGTGAATCTGCTAAAATGATGTCTGAAAATGTCTTATACATACTGAAGAGAGGATTGTTTATTAGAATTTAAAAGTTACATTAAAGCATACGTTTGATTAAATATTTTAATATGCTTTTATAGCATCTCCATTCTTCAAGGTCTCGTTCAAGAAAGGTGAAGAATAGTAAATTCTTTTCTTTTCAAAGAAGAATGCATGGCTTTTGGTTGACTCATAAAATAAGACAATAATGCGCTGCGTCAGATTCTCAAATAATTGAGCCTCCAATACCCCCCTTCTACATAGATCCTATAAATAACGGATATTCAAAATGATCATATAGGAAAGAACAAACATCTGTTTGATCATTTAACCGTTGAAATGGTGATAATCAATGGTGTAGAGTGTGAACGTATTAATGTCATTCGCCCTTCAATTTACAATCCAGGCGATTTTTCTTTCACTATGTATAATCTAGCTGGTATTTGTTCATCTTTTACTCATTCACTTTTTTTCTTAAAAGAAACGATCTTATCATTTCACATACAATGATACAATGTCTATGTTCACGTACAAATTAGACATATATGCATTTATGCATGTATTTATATCATATATTTGTGTTATTGTGTACGTAGGGCATTCAATAAACTCAATGGGCTCAGTTTGTTCATTAAGTATTAATTAATTTCTCCAAGTTTATTGTTTATAATTTATCATACATTGTTCACCTAGCGCAATAAGGCCTAAATAAGACCGTAGGTAAGGTATAATAACATATAAATTGTAAATCAAAACTAAAAAAATGTCTCGCCGTGTATTACTTGGGTATGTGGTATGTTATATTAATGGAATGATTCTCCCTTTCAAAATTGGAAAGTGAAAGTATTTTTTTTAATAAAGCATTCTTTAGTATAAATGCGACGATTTTCCACTTCAATTGTGTTTATTTTGTTGTAGTTAGGTACTCATGAATAATTTGTAGTATTAGATTGTTTTGAATTTAATTTTCAAAGCATTAAAATCAATTTAGGACTTGATTACTTGCAAATAAAGAGTAATTATATTTATTGATAATTGAACCAAATTGCAATTAATTGATGAATCAATTTCAGTTATAAGTTTATGCTTTAATAACTATATAAGTATAAACATGATTCCCACTTTATAAAATCCTTGTGTTTTTTTAATATTCTATTTATTCTTTTAAAATTTAATGAAATGAATTCTTGTCATTAAAATCAATTTAATATTGAAGAACAAAAAATGTATTATGCATAATAATAAATTCATACAAGTATAAAGTGAAGCTATTCACGTTACGTTTCAAATAAAATTCAAAAATTGGAATTAGATTAATTAAACTTGATTCTACAATAATAATGACGCACGAGCTTGAAATCTAGTAACCTAATTTATAGAATATATAAACTTGGACCCTCAGATCTCATTACTATAGGGTATGGGCTTGGGCAGCTAGTGGCCAACACAACTTAACGAACATCATTTATGTTATTCTACAATTCACATATTTATTTGTATCTACTAGACTACTTTTTTACATAGTTGGGTCTATCGAATCTATACTTACGGCCGATCCACTCTTTCTCTATATACTCCTCTTGGAACACTAGCCTCTTTTAAACCCTAATTGTTAATTCATACATAAACTGCACAATTCATCATCATCTTCATCTATTAACGCAAACTCTCTTTAATTATATGCTTGGATACCTCTATATATTATCACCAAAAATAATACTACGTATATAGTATTTTCGAATTATTATTAGTAAAGTGAAAATTCTCAAATCAGGATAAAAAATGTTTTGTAATTCCAAAATATGAGTATTATATTTTTACTTTTCAAATATTTGTAATATAACTACGGCCAAACTTGGCAGTAATTATTTTACTATTATCAAATTTGCAAAGGATTAAAAAAAGCACATTCTCACTTTTTATATGTTGTTAGCTATTATATTCCACCGTGCCTTGCCGCTGCAATAATGGTTTCTCCTGGTCCTACGACAATCTGAACAAGGAAAATTTGTCCCGATGATTGCTAACTACTTAAACCTATGATTCTGTTTGGTAACACTGAAATCGGCTGAATCTCTGGTGAAATTTATGAAGTTCTGGCTGAAGTGGCTATATTGACTGATTCTGCTGATTTATGAAAAATATTATATTGAAAATATATTTTATTATTAAAATAAAGAAAAAAATATATGAAAAATAACTAAAATAGTCATCTACAGTAACTTCAGCCAATACAGTCAGAAAAGTACGTTACTCCGACCTTACTTTTTCTTATCACTACACAATTCAACGCACGAAATCAAAACTTGCGTGTTTGGTTGAAAAGTTGACTGATAAGTCAAATAACAGAGTTACCAAATGAACTCTCTATGTGCAGATAATTGCTAACTTTCTTTCCAATTTTCTATACTTTTAAAGATATTCCAATTTAAATTTAAATTTAAAATTTTCATTTTCCGTTTAATATGTATGATAGTATGCACCGCAAAACCCTAGAAAATTGAACACTATAATTAATGACAATGAATAAATAAAGTCAGAATTTTGAATGAGGAAAGTAAAGAAATTGAAAGAGTGCAATGGGGTGAAGAAGATGACAGAACTTTGGGAGCTCCATTTGTCAGCCATCACCGACTACACAGTTGCCAATAAACAAAATATCATTTCACCAATCATTTTTTAGCAAACACTCTAAGTTTAACTTTTCGATTTTAATCACGTCTATTCTAAAACACTACTTACTTTGCTATTAAACATTTGCTCTAACATCACTTATTTTAAGTTGAAGTAGACACATACACCCCCTAAATCTGATTTAGTTTGATTTGATCTGATCGAACCTTATATATGAACTACTCTAGTTTGGTCTAACTGGATCCTTTCCTTTAAAAACATGCTAATTTTTCTTAATCACGTCTGTTTTAGGTTATAAAGGAAAGGACATTGAATTTGAATGGTCAAATAATTCCCTAAAGATAACAGGATGGTCTATAAGCAGCCGGACCTGGTTTAAGGACCGTATACCCCTGCCTTCCAACATTATGAGAATGGGCCTCATCAAATTAATGTTTGACGAAGAACGAGGTATCCTTTATGTCAAGTTTTCAGAACATGCGATTGACAAAATTGATCCGACAAGAACCGTATCGGTTCAAGAACTACTAGACCAGCAAAGCCCATCATCAAGCGGCGGCATAAAAGATTCATCACCAAGCAACCGTACAAAGGGCGGCGGCGGCGCAACACGAAAGCGCATAAAAGAGGCGGAGCTTACATGGCAAGAAGATGACGAAATATCATCGTCATGGCAGATCGTTGAGAAGCTGAAAATGGGCTTGAAGATTATTCTAGTCGTTATTGTGAGTCTTGGTTTATTTAGACTGATTGAAATACAAAAAAGCATCAACCAATAATTTAAACAAATCCTCACTTGTTAATATTGTAAGCATATATGCTTACGAAATGAAATGTTATACGGAGTATTATGTTACGTTTTTTCTTTTTATCCTCCAAAATGTGAATAACTTGCACGAAGTAGTAAATGGTTCGCAAACAAGTCTGCAACAAAAAGGCAAAAAACTATGTAGATCAGAGCTTTGTTAAAGTTCGACATGATCGAGAAATATATACATTATATTGTGTACCAATTTAAGAAGAGGGTGTTACTTATCATAATGTTTTCTTTTGGACTGTTTTCAGTCCCAGACCAGATCAGAGCATACCAGACTTTCATAATTATAAAATATAAAGACATCAGACATTTGTCAGACCAGACCAGTTCAAACCAGATCAGAACAGAAAAGACCAGCAAATTTCAGTCCCAAAGAAAACATCTTTACTTGTTGGAGATAATATTTATTTTGTTTGGATATTAATTTTAGAGCCTTCACACGTGGATGTCCAGATTCATTCACCAAGGGAATAGTGTTCTGTTAGACTACATGTTGTATAGATTAATGATAATTATTGTTAGTTTCCTACTTTTTAGTTAGTCTAGCACAATAGGCCAATAGCTGTTGTATTCATTTACATTACTATCATCAAGTGTATATAAGCATGGCATCGGCTTTTGATGACCAAGAAGAATAATACGAAATATTTGACTCTCCATTTTGATATGATATCAGAGCAGTAACGATCTTGATTGCTCCATTTCACGACAATTAACAGTGACATGGCCGGAGAAGCCGTAGGCACCGGCGGTGATAGAATCCGACGATGACGAATCAATGAAGAAGACGGCACCCATCTCAACTCACGGAATATTTCATTTCACAAACCGGGCTTTAACGATGAGCAATGGAAGAGTTTCTTGCAATTGATGGAAAGATGCAAAGCGTCTACTTCAGATGAAAAATTAGCCGCTATGGAAAAAAAAATTTCTTGGCTCCTGGACTCGGGAGCATCATACCACATGACAGGCCATTCAAAACTGTTGAGAGCAAAGATAAATGTGGCACCTGTTCCAGTCATACTGCCTAATGGTGAAATAACCCATGCAACAATCATGGGAGATGTTTGGTTGAGTTCACGGGTGGTATTAAAATTTTTTTTAGTGGTGAACGGTTTGCAATGCAATTTAATATCAGTGACACGACTTATAGATGCAATTTGGACCAGGGTACAAAGGAGATGGAGCATCACATCCTTATTACTCAAATTGATGACTCATCACCCACAAATGAAGGACCTCCCACGCGGCAGGAAGTCAATTCCTCCACTGATCGTGGGAATCTTTCCAGCGAACAAACGCAGCCACCGGAGGAAGTCCATGCACTCAATCCCACTACAGGTGACACTTCACTTTGCATGCCAGCATCACAGGAAACCAGACCCAACCACAGCCGTGCCACTACACTTGCCTAACACTCCTTCAATTGGTCGTGGACTTCGTCAACGCAAAACCCCTCGTCTGGCATCATGATTAGGAAGTTCAACTCAACACCGTCAAAATAAATTCCCTCCCCGTCGCTCACACCTCCTCGTCGATTGATTCAGGTAATCCGTATTCCATATAGCATGATGTAAATTATAATCATTTTTCGGTGTCGCACCGAGCTTTTCTTGCAGCAATTTCTGCTCACAAAGAGCCCTCCACTTTCCAAGAAGCGGTGCGTCATCCAGAATGGAGAGCTGCGATGCAGCGGGAGATTCAAGCATTGGAGCGCACGAGTACATGGAAAATCCAAGCCTTGCCACCGGGAAAGAAGGCTATATATTGCAAGTGGGTGTTCAAGATTAAGTACAAATGTGATGGATGTTGTAATAAATCCATGAATACTTTAATCTTCATATTGAAATTATCTGGAGAATTAACTGAGCGGAAGCGTACCTGACTCCATGGGAGATGATCTTTAGGGATCCGGGAGACGGAGGCTAGGGTTTGCGTCTTCTAGTTGATATACACCCTCGGGATTATCTCTCTAGCGATGGGATGCAGAAAGACGGAATGACGCGTTCAACTAGGGACCATAACCCCTTATTTATAGAGTGCTTAACCCTAATCAGCCCATCATTGATTAGGTCAAGCCCATGGGTCTCTACACATTTGGGCCCTATACCTTATTAGATAACTTATTAGCCCACTTAAATTAATATCCATAGGACCACTAATTTTTGGGCCTAAATATAAGATAGCATATAACATACAATTAAACCCGATAAATAATATATTGTGAATATTACATGTAGTATAAGTCCAATAATCTAACAATCTCCCACTTGGACGACATACACATGTATACACAATCCTTAGAATTGTATGTTTACTTTAGGAGCTCCAAATTTTTGCTATCAAACTGCAGTCATCCTTAATCAATCCGGTCCATTAATTATATCAACATAGGACCAAAGAAGTCTTTGCTATATTTGAATAACTAGACCCATCAATGATCACATATATTAATATAATAAACGACATGGATCAAGTATAGGTGTGTAGCGTGGAAATAACATATAGTGTGGTCTGGAATAGAATGTTTATTTCCAACTGGTCCACCCTGAGGTCAATAATATAACTGTAAGAGTACATAAAACTTTAAACTTTATTTCTGCAGAAAATAACATTAAAACTTGAGTTAACCAAACATAGAAACATTACAAACTCCCACTAAAACTCATAATCCTCAACTGATTTGACACCCATTTGAGCAACATGCTCATGAAACAATTTGGGTGGTAATCCTTTAGTGAGCGGATCCGCAATCATGGAGTTTGTGCTAATGTGCTCTATAGATAACTTTCCTTCTTGTACTCGTTCCTTAACAGCCTTAAATTTGACCCCAATGTATTTTGCCTTGGTCAAACTACTGTTGTTCTTAGCATAGAGGACTGCTGATCTATTGTCAAACAATAACTTAAGTGGTCTTTCAATGCTATCCACTATGCGTAGTCCACTAACAAAATCTCGCAGCCATAATGCCTGATTGGATGCCTCATAACATGCTATAAACTCTGCTTCCATGGTGGAAGTAGCTGTAAGAGTCTGCTTGATACTCCTCCAAGAGATAGCTCCTCCAGCTAGGATATAGATGTAGCCTGAAGTGGATCTCAAGCTATCTTGACATCCAGCAAAATCAGAGTCGGTATACCCAATGATCTCAAGCTGATCCGATCTCCGATATGTGAGCATATATTCCTTTGTTCTCTGTAAATACCGCATGACCCTTTTGGATGCTTTCCAATGGTCCATTCCCGGATTGCTCAAATATCTGCCTAACATCCCAACAATGTATGCCAAATCAGGCCTTGTACAAACCTGGGCATACATCAAACTTCCTACAGCCGAAGCATAAGGAATGTTCCTCATTTCTTTAGATTCAAAACCATTCTTAGGGCACTGCATGAGACTAAACTTGTCTCCCTTAGAAACTGGGGTATCTCCTGGTTTGCAGTCTTGCATACCAAACCTTTTGAGAATCTTATCGATATAGCTCTTTTGTGAGAGTCCAAGAACGCCTTTGGAGCGATCTCGGTGGATTTGAATTCCTAATACAAAAGAAGCCTCACCAAGATCTTTCATTTCAAAATTCTTTGAAAGAAATCTCTTAGTTTCGTGTAATAAGCCTATATCGTTAGTAGCAAGCAGTATGTCATCAACACACAAGACCAGGAAAATATGCTTACTCCCACTGAACTTGTGGTATATACAATCATCACTGACGTTTGGTTGAAAACCAAAAGATATAATGACTTTATGAAACTTGTGATACCACTGACGAGAAGCCTGTTTGAGCCCATAAATGGATTTCTTTAATTTGCAAACCATTTTCTTTGAATCTCCCGAAACAAAGTTTTCTAGTTGCTCCATATAGATTGATTCCTCAATGTCACCATTGAGAAACGCAGTTTTTACATCCATCTGATGAAGCTCAAGATCAAAATGTGCCACTAATGCCATTATTGTTCTAAAAGAGTCTTTCGAGGATATCGGAGAGAAAGTCTCTTTATAGTCAATTCCTTTCTTTTGAGTGTAGCCTTTAGCAACAAGACGAGCTTTAAACCTTGTAACATTGCCCTTTGAATCCCTCTTGATTTTAAATATCCATTTACAACCAATGGGTTTAATACCTTCAGGCAATGAGACTAACTCCCAAACGTCATTGTCACTCATAGACTTCATCTCATCTTTCATGGCATTAATCCATTCTTGAGAGTTAGAACTTTCCATGGCTTGACGAAAGTTGATTGGATCATCTTCCGCAAAACCAACATCTGATTCTTGTTCTTGGAGGAAGACAATTATTTCTTCCACCAATTCCCAATTTTCCTCATGTTCTAGGAGAAATACAATATAATCATCCGGAATTGCGCTTCTCCTCTCTCGAGTGGATCTCCTTAATGGCACCTCAGGTTCTTGAGGTTGTTGAGTTTGATCCTCATTAACAAATTCAGGTACTTGATTGAGGATGTTTTCGAGATTGTCATCAACTGTAGTTGTTTCTTGAACATCATTAGGAATAAACATATCTTGATCATGTTCAATGACAACTGAAGGAAGAGTAACATGTTCTTCCTCAAAGACAAAATCTCTAACTTTATCTCCCCACCCCCCAAACTCAATATCCTCAAAGAATCGGGCATTACCCGTCTCAAAAATAGTCCTGGTAGTGGGATCATAAAATTTATACCCCCTTGACCTCTCAGAGTATCCTACAAAATAGCTACTAACTGTTCTTGAGTCCAGTTTCTTTTCATTTGGCCTATAAGGCCTTGCCTCAGCTGGACAACCCCAAACATGGAAATGATTTATACTGGGTTTCTTTCCAGTCCAAATTTCATAAGGGGTTTTAGTTGTAGCTTTAGTGGGAACTCTGTTAAGTATGTAAGCTGCAGTTTTCAGTGCCTCTCCCCAGAGTGAATCGGGTAAAGTAGTATGACAAATCATACTCCTAACCATGTCCTTCAATGTACGGTTTCGTCTCTCAGCAACACCATTCATGCTAGGAGTTCCTGGCATGGTGTACTGAGGAACAATTCCACACTCCTCTAGGTATTTAGCAAATGGCCCTGGACGTTGTTCACCGGAACCATCATATCTACCATAGTATTCACCACCACGGTCAGATCTAACGGTTTTTATTCTTTTGCCTAATTGATTTTCAACTTCGTCCTTATAAGATTTGAACACGTCTATTGATTGAGACTTTTCATGAATGAGATAAAGGTAACCATAACGAGAGTAATCATCTATGAATGTGATAAAATATGTTTGGCCATTTCTACATGGTGTAGGGAATGGTCCACAAATGTCCGTATATATCAATTCTAATAGATCTGAAGCTCTCTCGGCACCTAACCTCCGTTTGTTCGTTTGTTTTCCCTTAACGCACTCAACACAAATATCAGAATTTGAGGAGTCAAGAGAATCAAGAATTCCATCTGACACAAGTCTCTGAATTCTTTCTTTAGAAATATGTCCTAGACGCTTGTGCCAAAGTGAAAACGAATTCTCATTGGTTAATTTTCTTTTAGTACCACGAGTACTTACATGCAAGGTTTCATTATATGAGGTATTTATATCAAGTGAATATAGATTATCATAAACTGATAAAAGACCAGTACCAATAAGTTTTGAATCTTGAAATAGACTGAACTGACTATTTCCAAATGAACAAGAATAACCAAATTTGTCCAATGCAGAAATAGAAATTAAATTCCGCCTAAATGACGGCACAACAAATGTCTCTTTCAAATCCAAATAAAAACCAGTATTTAATAATAATCTAAAAACACCGATAGCCTCAACTTCAACCCGCTTGCCATCACCGACATAGATGTATCTTTCACCATCAATTGGTTTTCGGCAGCTCAGGCAACCCTGCATAGATACACTTATGTGAGTAGTAGCACCGGAATCTACCCACCAAGTGTCTTTTGGTACCGAAATTAAATTAACCTCAGAACAAACAAGAGCAAGAGACATACCCTTTTTCGCACGCCAAGCATGGTACTTAGTGCAGTTCTTTTTCTTGTGATTAGTCCCTTTGCAAAAGAAGCATCCAGATTCCTTAGTTTCTTCCTTAGTTTCCTTGTGATGCTTCCTGGGAGGCCCCGAATTTGCAGCTTCCTTAATTTTTCTTTTATTGCTGCCCTTAGAGGTAGATGCTAAATGAGCACTTTCTGTCTTATCTTGCTTTGTTCTCTCTTCTTCTTGAACACAATGAGAAATGAGCTCATTGAGAGACCATTTCTCCTTAATGCAGTTGTAATTGACTTTAAATTGATTAAATTGAGAAGGAAGAGAGATCAAAACTAAATACACAAGCAATTCCTCAGGTAAAATAAGCTTCAGTGCACCTAGTTTTGAAGCAATGTGAGACATTTCCAAAATGTACTCCCTTATGTTCCCTTTGTCTTTATACTTCATGGAAACAAGAGTGCTCAAAAGAGTACTAGTTTCCGCCTTTTCGTTTTTAGCAAAACGCTTTTCAAGTTCGGCAAGGAACGATTTGGCATCAGCCTCATCAGACATTGTGCCCCTGAATGATTCTGGAATTGCACGTTTCATGATCATTAGACTCATGCGGTTTGAGCGTTCCCACCTCTCCATCTCCCTCTTTTCATCAAGGGTAGATGTGTCCTTAAGAGCGGCGGGTTTCTCAGTCCGAAGTGCAAGGTCTAGATCCATGCAACCGAGAACGATCATAACGTTCTCTTTCCATTCCATAAAATTCGTGCCGTTAAGCACTGGGATGCTATTAATATTAGCAGATATTGTAGCAGCAGAATTATTGACTGAAAGAGAACAAAAAAATATATAAATGATATGCTCTATGTACTGAAATTAGTTTGATAATTAATTTTAAATTTAAATATTAGCAATCCCCATCACAAGATACCTAACGCAACATCTAATCTTGTCTTTGGACATAAATTAGACTTGCAAGTGGTACTCTTGGCGTAATAATAAAATTTTGATAATAAAATCATGTCAAATACTAAGCCTTTCTTTGGACCGACTTAATATTCACACGAAAAACTTCATAATCATCACAAATTTTATTATCACAAATGTACTTAAATTTCGGCCAAATAATAACCTTCCTTTGGGCCGATTATTATCCGCATGAAATAAGAAAATACACAATCATCTTAATATATGAGTTAATTAATTTCAACAAGAGAGGCTACTTTGGCAGCATGTTGTATCAATTAACTAACTCAAATATTAGACATGCTAATATTAACTCGAAAATCTGAAAAATAAAATTTGGGCAATTTTTTTTTTTTAAATCACATGCAAATGTATTATGTATAACGATAATTTGTAAAACCCATACCCAATTGGTGTGCGATCACAAAATGGGGTTTATACATCCATAACACATAACACATTTTCAAACTGTAAATCATGATCACCATCAAAAGTAATTTATTTCCAAATATATGATTCTAATAGAACTGACATTCACCGTAATCACATATATGTATTTAATTACCAAAGTCATAGAAGTTTCCAAAATTGATTCACTAAAAAGAAAACATATCAAAATTGAAATTGATATTCGTATACAATTTTCCATATCCAGATAACTTCTAAAACGTCAATAAAAGATTCCAATGTAATACTTCGTAAATAAGGTAACATCAATACTGGAATCACCCATATTCATATAGCACGGATCACTCAAAGACTAATTAGTAATTACTGAAAATCTAGAACCAAATAATAAAAGTGATATCAATCACCTTTTATTGACTGAAAAATGGAAACATAACAAGAATAGATATTAAACTATAAACAACTCCAAACGTACGTGGCTAGTTCCCAAATCCGTGTGAATGACCTGACTCCACTTATTCCATACTTTATCGCTATTGCGATTTCAAATAAGCAGATACAAAGAAAGATTACAAAACGCAGCATCCCAAACGCAGCATCTCAAACGCGACTGACTCGACAGATTTTATCAGATTTTATGTCAAAAAAAAACACCTTACTCCAAAATTCAATCGCCGATTCAGAAAAAAATTACGAAACATAATGATTCCGTTTGATTTTATGTTTGAATACATTAGGTACATTAGGCGCGAATTGCATAAAAGCAAAATCGCATTACCTGATTCCATTTAATCGACAGATCATATGACAAAAGAAATTCCATAAATTCAATCATTCAAGATTGAAACAATTATGAATACTCCAAATAATTCAATATGAAGGAGGCTCTGATACCAATTGTTGTAATAAATCCATGAATACTTTAATCTTCATATTGAAATTATCTGGAGAATTAACTGAGCGGAAGCGTACCTGACTCCATGGGAGATGATCTTTAGGGATCCGGGAGACGGAGGCTAGGGTTTGCGTCTTCTAGTTGATACACACCCTCGGGATTATCTCTCTAGCGATGGGATGCAGAAAGACGGAATGACGCGTTCAACTAGGGACCATAACCCCTTATTTATAGAGTGCTTAACCCTAATCAGCCCATCATTGATTAGGTCAAGCCCATGGGTCTCTACACATTTGGGCCCTATACCTTATTAGATAACTTATTAGCCCACTTAAATTAATATCCATAGGACCACTAATTTTTGGGCCTAAATATAAGATAGCATATAACATACAATTAAACCCGATAAATAATATATTGTGAATATTACATGTAGTATAAGTCCAATAATCTAACAATGGATCTATTGATCGATACAAGGCCCGGCTCGTCGTGTGCGGAAACAAACAAGTGCAGGGAATCGATTATACGTAGACTTTTGCTCCGGTTGCTAAAATGGTGACTGTTCGTACCATTTTAACCGTGGCGGCTTCTCAGCACTGGGAGTTGCATCATATGGACGTGGACAATGCTTTCCTGCACGGGGACCTTCAAGAAGAGGTTTATATGCATTTTCCACCTGGTTATTCCTCTTCTACTCCCGGGAAGGTGTGTCGGTTACTTCGGTCCTTATATGGGCTCCGATAGGCCCCAAGGTGTTGGTTTTCCAAACTCACATCTTCTCTTCGCGCATATGGTTTCTGCCAGTCCCACGTGGACTATTCATTATTTACACTTCGAAGAGAATCGTATTTTATGTGTATTGGTCTACGTTGAGGACCCATTGATTACAGGGAATGACCATGGTATGATTGTTGAATTTAAGAGCTATCTTGCACGTTCTTTCCCAGTTAAGGATCTTGGACTTATGAAATATTTTTTGAGTATTGAAGTTGCCCGTAATCTCACCGGTATATTTTTGTGTCAACGAAAATATGTGCTAGATATCCTTGCTGAAACCGGTTTGATCGGAGCCAAACCCGTTGCATTTCCTATGGTCCAAAACCATGGGTTACAATGTGACAAAGGACCTTCTTATTCTGATCCTGAACAATATCGGAGGCTAGTTGGAAAACTTATTTATCTTACTTTAACTCGCCCCGATATTAGTTACTCTGTTCATATACTTTCCCAGTTTATGCAACATCCGCGCATGGCTCATTGGGAGGCGGTGGTACGTGTCCTGCGGTATCTCAAAAGCCATCCTGGTCAAGGGATTTTTCTTCGGTCTGATTCCAATCTCACCTTAACTGGTATTTTGTGATTCCAACTGGGCCAGTTATCCCCTTACGCGGCGGTCTGTTACTGGGTATTTTGTGTCACTTGGAGGTTCTCCTTTTTCTTGGAGGACAAAGAAGCAGGTCACGGTTTCTCGTTCCTCAGCCGAAGCCGAATATCGTTCTATGTCCACCTTGACTTGTGAACTTATTTGGTTAAAGAATCTGCTTCATTCATTAGGCGTCCGCCATTCTTTTCCTGTACAATTATTTTGTGACAATAAAGCGGCTATACATATTGCCTCTAATCTGGTCTATCATGAGAGGACTAAGCACATTGAACTAGACTGTCACTTTATTCGGGATCATATTCAGTCTGGCACTATCTCTTCTGCGTATAAATCTACCACGGAGCAGATGGCTGACTTGTTCACTAAAGCCCTTGGTGCACACCAATTTTCGTATCTACTCACCAAGATGGGCATTTGTGACCTCATGCTCCATCTTGAGGGGGATGTTGGAGATAATATTTATTTTGTTTGGATATTAATTTTAGAGACTCACACGTGGATGTCCAGATTCATTCACCAAGGGAATAGTGTTCCGTTAGCTAGACTACGTGTTGTATAGATTAATGATAATTATTGTTAGTTTCCTACTTTTTAGTTAGTCCGCAATAGGCCAATAGCTGTTGTATTCATTTACGTTACTATCATCAAGTGTATATAAGCATGGCATCGGCTGTTGATGACCAAGAAGAATAATACAAAATATTTGACTCTCCATTTTGATATTACTCTTTATAAAATAAAACAGTACTGTACGATAAGTAGTACTATTAATCCTTTTAAATTAATCTTAAGTATTAGAAACACACTACAATGGTTAAAGTCCGGTAATGTCAAAACATGACAGTAAATTTTCTAGGTTGGTAGTAACATACTCCTATTTAAGGAAAAAAAAGTAAAAACTCTATTTTGAAATTTAACGTTTTTACCGTTTTTACTCCTAGTTTGGAATTTTCCCAATAAGAAAATACATATACCTACAGTACTTTTATTTTGTTATTTTAGAAACAACTCTGAATACTCCCTTCGGTCTTTATTAAACTTTACAGTTTGACTTCACACATATTAAGGAAATAAGTTTGACTTTACTGTAGAGTGTACTGTTTGGCACTGTTTGACACTGTTTTGCACTGTTTAGTGTAGATTTGTTTGCCAAATAAGGTAAATAAGGAAGTGTAAAGTTTAATATGGGACAACCCAAAAAGTGAAAAAGGAAAGTGTAAAATTAATTAAGGACCGGAGGGAGGGAGTATTTGATATCAAACTTCTTTTGGTATATACGGACTTACGGAGTATATAATAGTGTTGAAGCCGAATGTTGCCCCGGGTGATGTTTGTACTTGTCATATATGGTTTTAATTTTATAACCATAAATGATTTTTAAAATTTATGAATTTGGATAATCATGGGTGAGAAGTAATATTGATGAAATCGTTCTTAATATGATTCAAACAATGCATGCTCCAGATTTCATATTCGTAACCCTATAATCTTCCCAATTTGACTATTTTGGGTCAAACTTTATAAACTTTGACCATTAATTATTCAAAACTCACATTATGTTATGATTAAAAATTTATTTCATATACCTCAATGTAAAATATATTATTTGAATGTTAATTTATTATGAATTTTATAAATATAGATATGTAGATATTTAGAGTCAAAGTTCAACTTAGAAGACCGTGAAAAGTCAAAATGAGAAGATCTTTGTGTTACGGAGGTAGTATTACAATTAGCCACACATTTCATACTCTAAATCAAATTTACAAATCTTCACCTAGAAAACATGTCTTAAGGTTAAGTAAACTTGCATATATTTATGTAGATATCTAAATGATAAAAACACTAAAGAGTTTTGTTTTGTCCAACCATTAAATTTGTTGTTAGAGAGTAACACAAGTATGACTTATCAAAACACATGACATGTTGATGTAACTTTTGAACTGTACAAGGATATATAATGTGCATAGCCTACATATAAAGAGGATTTCACACAATAAACTCAAAATATATGACAATTTAGTTTGATCATTTTTCATTATGACCTATTAAGCCACAATCAGGTTTGATTACGGAAATCATTTTGAGAAAGAACTGAAGCAATTTCTAATTTTTCCTAGACTCCATAGAATAATCTGCTAAAATGATGTCTGAAAATGTCTTGTATAATTCTGAAAAGAGGAGTATTTGTCGGAGCTTAATTAAAAGTTAAAGCATACGACGTTTAATTAATAAATATTCCGTATATACGGAGTATATGATATATCTCCATTCCATGATAGTACATGATAGTAAATCTTGGATAATGATTTACAGTAATTATTATATTTGCATATAATTTAAAAAGTTATACTCTTATGAAAATATTTTTAATAAAGAACATTTTGATATAATTTTATATGAAAAATGATTCCGTGTTAAAAAATGTCATTGGTCAAAATTGATTATTATAGACTAATTAAGAAAAGTCATTTCACAAACCTTTTTAGGACGGAGAGAGTATTAGTTTGTAAATTTCATCCATGCTTTACTATAATTTACCTATAATTTCTTGAAAGAATGGCAAAAATATTAGTTAGAGAGTTTAAATGGACAAAAATATGACCAAAATTTCGTGTAGACAAAAAACTGATTGAAATTGTTAAAAAAGACTTAAATGCCCTCAATAATAGCATATGCACTCTTCCGCCTCCATCAATTAGATCTACGCACCTTTCCTCCTCCATCTATCAAATCTGCAATCGATTAGCTAGTGGCTTGCCTCTTGTCGACTATTGTCGCTTCGCGAAGATAGCCACTGTCCGCCGCCTCCACCAGTCCGCCGTCACCCTCGTCGCAGCCGCACAACTCCCAGGCCAGGTCTCGTTGTGAAGGTGATGGCAGTGGCTAGGTTCGGCGATGGGCGGCGCGGCGGTTAGATTACCAGACGGACTGAGGCTAAGATTAGCTTTAGGATGCAGAAATGGTGGGCAGAGGTGGCTAAGGTTAGATCTGGGGTAGTGGGGGAAGTGTTTGCCTACGGCGGCTAGGGACATGTTTGGGGTGGTGGGGGGCGTTGGGTGCGAGCAACAGGGTTATGGGGGTGTGAGATGGTGATTGGGAGAGTGAGGCAGTGGTGGGATGGTGGTGACCGACGACAACAGTGGTTTTGACGGTGGTGATGGCCTGGAGGTTGGGGGCAAGGGTTGGGAACTAGGTACGAAGTCGTTGACAGGCGGCGGTGACCGGTTGTCACCGGAGTAACTGTGACCAGAGTAACTGTACACTATGGTGGAGTAACTGTGGAGATGTCATTGTGAATGTGTCACTGCAGAGGTGCCATTGTGACCGGTGGCGGCGATAATCAGGCACCGATGGTGGTCATCGGCCGGCGGCGGTGGTCACCGGCCAGCGGTGGTGATCATCGGCCGACGATGGTGCCTGTTGGTCACTGTGGCGGATGTCATCACTATGGCGGGTACTGTAACTATAAAATAAAGTAACTTAAAATTAGGGGTAATTTAATACGTTTAAAGCTTATTAGTCACATTTTCAGAAATTAAAATAAAATGTCACTTTTTTGTCAATTGTCTATTTTTTTAGTAATATTGAGGTCAAAACCCCTAATTTCTTTTGACAGAAACAGAAACCAACAAAAAAAAAGATTTCTTTTCGTTCATTCAAGAAAGATGAAGAATAATAAACTCTTTTCTTTTCAATGAAGAATTCAGTGCCTTGCAAGAGGAGGCTTTGGATATATTGAAATAAAAACACTACATCGCTTTTGATTGACACAAAGAAAAGACAATAATGTCATGCATCAGATTCTCAATTAACTGAGCCCCAAGCTAAGCCCTCTTCCAACCCCCTACCTTCTGCATCGATCCTATAAATAATGGATATTCCAAATGTGTTTGATGATCATAGAGGAAAGAACAACCATCTGTTCGATCATTTATTTAACTGTTGTAATGGTGATAATCGGTGGTGTGAATTATGTTCGTGCCAGAGTTGTTCGCTCTGTGATTGACAATCCAGATGATGTTTCTATCAAGCTGTATAATTTAATTGGTACTCCCTCCGTTCCTATTAAAACTTCCAACTTTCCTTTTTCGTCCGTTCCAATTAAAATTTCCGCTTTCCCTTTTTAGTAAAGAATTTGTGGTTCACAACATTTCTTACACATTTCTCTCTCCTCTGCACAACTCTCCACCACACAATACTCACTATCTTAAATTGTGTGTCAAACCTATTTGGAAGATAAAATAGGAACAGAGGCAGTATTTGTTATTTTTAACTCATTCACGTTTTTTGTTAAAAGAAATGATCTTTTCATCCGACATATTATGTGTGGTGTAAAGTAGGTAATAAATCTATTTATGTTCAATGATTGGTATCATTGAACATAGTAAACCAATTATTGACCAATCTATCTATGGATATACCATTACCTGTATCTGCCCCATTTAGTAAACTATGTTCAATGATTGGTCAATGATCGATTTAATGATTATATTTTATTCATTATCAAAGAGAAATATTTTTGTTAAATTAATTTTAATTAACAAATATGTTCGTAAACTTCCACATCTTGCGAATTGATATTCGTGCAAATATTTTATTTAAATTTTGAATTGACAAAGTGCATATGCATCAATCATTTGAACATTTCTAAATCTAATAAAATTCTTAGTAAAATTTATTCTTAAAGTCCAAAAGAGTCCAAATAAACAATGTTATTGGTCATTTATAGTTAAAAGATCAAAAGCACATAATGAATTTGAATACACCCTCCTGTCCGAAATAAACTTAACATTTTCATTTTAAGTTAGGTCCAAAATAAATTTCACACCTCTATTTTTGGAAAGTTTTTAATATAAAAGTACACTTATAACATTACTTTATTACCTACTTTACACCTACATTCTCTCTCCCACTACACTTTATCAACTTTTTGTAGGGGTATGGTGGAAAAGTCAAAACAAAAAATTCTACTTTCTTAAAAAACGTAAAGTCCAATCATTAAGATTATTTAGGATCGGAGAGAGTAATATAATAATAAATTACTAATTATGTAAAACATTTGATATCATGTTATTGCATTTAAATTAAATAAGATATGAGTTGAATTCTTCATTTTTCTAATAGTTACAAGTTGAGTTATATATATGTAGTACGTAGGGATGGACTCGGGTCCGGGCCGGGGCCGGGTCGGGCCTAGGCTCGGGCGGGCCAGCGGTTCAAGAATAGTGGACCCGGGACCGGCCCGGGTAGCCACCGGGTCCGGGCCGGGCCTCCGGTTTGGATTTTTTTTTTTTTTTTTTTTTGCTTTCCTAACCCCCCCCCCCCCCCCCCACACCCCACCCTCCCAAACCCCCCCAAATCCATCCTACCCATCAAGCCCAACCCGGGTGGAACCCCAAAAATGAAAAAAAAAATCAATTTGGCCCGGGCCCGGGCCCGACCCGACCGGGCCGGTTCACCAAAATTGAGACCCGAGCCCGGACCCGCCCTACCCCCCGGGCCTAGGCCCGACCCGGACCTGAGAACCGGTCCGGTCCCGATCCCGCACAGTAGCGGGTCGGGTGGCCCGACCCGAGCCCAACCATAGTAGTACGTGGTATAAAGTTGAAATGTGTACATGATTTTGCCCCCAATACAAATTTTTTCTGTATCCACCTGTAGGCACCACTCAGATTTCAAAATCCACGTCGTTTAAAATTTATCAAAGTCATAGTTGGGACACCTTCTAAAAATATTTTTTCTTAAATACAACATTCTTTAGTATAAATGGCATCATTTTCTTGTAGTACTATATTGTTTTAAGTTAATTTTCAAAGCATTTCAATAAATTTAAAACTACTTACTTACAATTAAAGAGTAATTTATCGATAATCGAACCAAATTGCTATTAAGGAATGAATCAATTTCAATTAAAAGGTTATGCTAATTAATTAATAACTATGTGTAAAAACGATCCCACTTTATAAAACCCATGTGTTTTTAATATTCTATTTACTCTTAAAATATAATGAAATCAATTCTTGTCATAAAAACCAATTTAATGTTGAAGAACAAAAAATGCACTATGCATAATAATAAATATGTACAAGTATAAAGCGAAACTATTTAAGTGACGTTTCAAAAAGTTCAAACATTGGAATTAGATTAATTAGATTTCACTCCAATATAATGGATGCACGAGTTTGAGTTCTAGTTACCTAATAATAATGGCAATTTTGACTTTTTATTAAGTAAAAGGAAAATTCCCGAAATAGGATTTAAAACGTTTTACAATTTCAAAATAGGAGCACTGTGATTTTATTTCTCAAATACGAGTAATTACTTTCAGCTTAGTAGTATGTATTTTATTATTGTCTAAATTTTATTTGATCCGATCTAATCCCATCGAACCTACTAACTTCTTCCAAAATTGTTTTGCAAAGTCAAACTTTTTTGTCAACCAATAATGAAGTTAAATCCCTCATTATTGATAATTAATTCAATTTTAGTAATTCAAATTTACATATTCAAATACTATATTAAAATTTCTATAAAATTGCAAAATCCAAATTAAAATTTAATTAAAATTGATATCCTTTTTATTTGACCCAAATAAGTCAACTGTACAACTTAATTTGGAACAGAGAGATTATTTAAATATGAGTTAGTCTAGTTTGGTCTAACTTAATTGGTTTGATATGATATGAGCCTGAAACTGGTTCAATTAACAACATGTCAATTCTTTTTTTTGAAATCAAATAACTAATTTATTCATATCAAATGATAACAAAAAAAAATAAGAAATGAATAACCCAAGGCTACGATGAGATGAGACTTTGAATAAAAAGATTCCATGAAACCTTCCGGATCACTAATCACATGATAATGTATTCAGTCTAACGGTCTTTGTGCACTTGCTACTCCAAATAAAACATAAAAAATTACAAATAAAAGATCGGGCTTCACCAGCCACCGGATCTGAATGGCAGAACAAGCTCGTGGTTACCAATTCTTCTTATTCATATGTGTTGTAGGTTATGAAGGAGAGGAGATTGCATTTGTATGGTCAAATAGGTACGTAAGGATAATAGGATATAGTGAAAGCAACCTTACCTGGTTTGGGGAACGTATACCCCGGCCATGCGGATTTTTTGGAATGGGCATCGAGGAAATAAAACTTGACGATAAACGAGGTATCCTTTATGTCAAGTTATCAAAACAAGCGACTCACAAAATTGACTTCACAAGACCCGTTGTATTTGTTCAAGAACTACTAGACAAGCTAAGCCCATCATCAAGTGGCGGCAGAAAAGATTCATCACAAAGCAATTACAGAAAGGGCGGTGGTGGCGGCAGCACAGCACAAAAGCGCATAAATCCCCTCAGATATGGTGGCGTAAATGCGGCAGAGCTTGAATGGCAGGAAGATGACGAATTTTCATGGCGGGTTGTGGAGAAGCTGAAAATGGGCTTGAAGATTGTTCTAGTCGTTATTGTGAGTCTTGGTTTATTTAGACTGATTGAAATACAAAAAAGCATCAATCAGTAATTTAATCAAAATCCTCAGATCTTAATATAGCAAGCATATAATTAAAGAAGTAAAGTATATATTATGTTTCGTTTTTTGTTTTTATCCTCTAAAATGTGAATAATTGTACTATACGAAGTACTACCCTGTTTCATTAACATTGAGACATGAGGAAGTAGTGCGTTTGTTAAGAAAAGTCAGATTATGTGATTGATATTGAACTGTTAAAGTAAGAACAAAGTAAGAATGATGTTGTTGTCCCACACCAGATATTTCAAACAATTAAACACCATATAAGATCATGAGTTACTCCTATCAAGTTGACATTTTAGGATAGATCCCCAATCCTAGAAAAATAGTTATTTGTTGCGGTTATTTTAGCTATTTGCTGCGGTTTTGATCCACATCAATTGGCAAGGCAACAAATAGTAGGAAAACTTATTTGGAACCGCGACAAATAGCTATTTTAGAAAATGAATTTTAACTTATTGCAGCGGTTATGAACCGCACCAAATGGTATTTAAATCCGCAGCAAATACTCTCTCATTTTATAGCTTCTATGTGGAGTTAAACAGACCCATATTAAATGTTTTCATGTTCGTAAACTGTACCATTTTTTAATAACTACCGTTTACTTCGTATAATACAATTGAATATTAATAAAAAAATCAACACTCAACATAGTATTAAACCAAATATTATTAACCATAAGTATAGTAGCATATGTATAAAGTGCACACAAATATCATGTTATTGGATAAACGCTCTACATAAGTACATAACTAAGTACAAATTCACACCATCCTGCTGATAATATTAAATGATTGTGGTGCTGTTTGTTTTTTGGCGAATCCGCACCAACCCGCTGCTAAAAGCAGTATTTTCACGTTAAAAAGGAGCAACGGTTTGATGCACCCGTTGTTATCCAAATGGACCCTGTATCTTCACAAAAAAAAAAACAAGTGCTCTTGTATCTCATTGATCTCTTTCCATAATGAAAGCATGAGTGATGAGCGCTAGCTAATGAATCGGCCGCTAGCCTGCCAAAGCTATCCATCTCCGGAGCCAAAGGTGCACCAGTCTGAGATTTCAAGCAAAAAAAACACACAAATTTCAACCAATTACGTGAGAAATACAATTGGACTTAATACAGCTAGATAAAGCAAAACAAATACAACCCCACACGAATCATTGAATGCTTGTCTGGTTCTTTAGTTATCTGTATTATTATCCACGTTCCCTATCAAACATACAGATTGTAAATCTAAAATACTCTCCCTCTGCACACAAAGTTTCTCCTCCAGGGGTTTAACAAAATCTTAGTTTGAGGTTATAAGAGTGGATAGAAAAAGCATGAAAAACAACTTGAAAAGGTGTATTAGGAAAGTTTTACTCATTCATCCGATTTTTACCCCAACTTGAGAAGAGAATATTTAATACCTGAAATGTATTTGGTTATGGATCTGAAATCAGGGTAAAAGGTCTAGCATGAAGCCGAAATCTAAGTAGCCTGCACTGCACGGCTTCTTCCAGTCAAAGTTGTGATTCCAATGTAGAATGTATTCATATAATAGACTACCGGATGAAAGTAGAGAAATAAATAACATATACGGAGTACATCATAACTATGTGGAATACTCTGAACTGATTAAGATGCGGCAGTAACTCCCCAATATCCATCACTGTTATATCCTTCATCGGAAAGACAGAGGTTAACCCTTATTTTGACATCATATGCCTGAATAAACAAAATAAAGTTACTTTTAATTCATTATGTAACAGAAAAAGAAAATCAACTTTTCATACGTAGAGGAAAACCCGAACTGCTAGAACCTAGTAGGTGTAATTATATGTAAATAAACTTCTCATGTTAAACTGAAGTTGCACGTAGTAAAATTTTTGACAAAGGCCGGTTGTGTGAATTAAAATACATGAAATAGTGGAATTTGCTAGTCTTCAGAAATACCTCCTTAAGCTCTAGAAGTCTCCAAATCACCCAATATGTTGTTTAATCAGCCAAGAAACAAAAAAAAAATCAATACTCGAGGTTTAAGGTTAAAAGACAAAAACCCCAAATAATAGGCAGCTCCATAAAACAGCAACCAAACTCAAAATCAACAAATGCATCAGCAGAAATTCATTTTTCTTATAGTACAAATTTTACCATCAATACAAACAAAATACACATTTCATATAGAGATGAGATTCAAGAGTTTGACAAAAACTTACATAGCTTGTTGAGGCATTTTTACAAACAAATTATAGGCATTACGTAACCGAAATTTCATCAAACAATTTTCTATACTCTCTCAAACTTTAAGAAGTTAAACAAAGGCATCCAAAAAAGTATACAGAGCACAAACTCTAACTATTAAAAACAAATACATCAACAATAACAACAGTAAATTGGTTACTAAATAATTTTGTATTCTTATTTCAATCATTTCATTCTAATATGTTAACCTTATTAAAAGGATGAGCTGAATGTTATTTAACAAGATGAACAAAGGCAGTGACAAACCATCAACGAAGGCACCTCGGTTCCGATTCATAGTCCGGACCATCTGCAATTTTGAAGAGCTAACCGAAGGCAGCAAAAAAAATTGAGATTTTTGTATAGTCCAGATAGAATAATCAGGTAAAGAAGTGGATCGAGTAGTGCTTACCTAAAATTGTTGAATATTGTTACAATTGTCTCAAATTCAACCGGCCAGTTACATCCCAAACGTATCTGGCTCCCATCTACAACAGCAAAAAGAATTCAATCTCTCCCAACCTCCGATCCGATCCTTCCCGGTAAAAGGAGGCGCGAGGTGGCATTGCAGCGTGAAGGCATGAGGGCTAAGGCGGTGGGGTAGCGAGGCAGCGTTGCGGGTGAAGGCGTGAGGCAGTGGGGTAGCGAGGCGCCGGGTCGCTGGGGCTAGGTGGTGCGAGCAGGAGGCAGGACCTAGTCAAACGATTGTTTCCTTGGCGATTATGTTCCTCTTATGGTCAAAGGGCAGGCAAAAGAGTACCGAAGGCTCTGGTCATACAAAAAGGATTAAAATTGGCTAAATCCACTCAACAACGACTCAAGGGATACCGAGGGCATCCACTTTTCGTCCGCCCTTACTACAACATGAATGTCTTACAAAATTTTCCTAAATCCACACTTTGGAACCCACTACGGCCGAGGGCGCCTGCTACACAACACCGAAGGCGAGTACCCAGAGACATGATCTTGAATTTTCTAAGTCCAAGTTCCAGCAACCCCCGACACTACAATCTACACCGGAGGCTGGTACTCACAGGGCTCATTCACCGAAGGCTCAACGGTGAAACTACACTTGGAAAAATTTTCTAAGTCCCAAATATTTGGCCCTCGGTCAAATCTCCATGCAGCCAGAGGGGTCCCACAACCGAAGGCTCAATGGTGAAACTACACTTGGAAATTTTTTCTAAATCCCAATTATTTGGCCCTCGATCAAATCTCCATGCAGCCAGAGGGGTCACACAACAGAAGGCTCAGTGGTGAAACTACACTTAGAAAAACTTCCTAAGTCCTAAAAAGATTGGCCCTCGGGCACCTCAACATTCGACCGAAGGCCTGACACTGAATAACACTTTGATGGAGTATATGGCCCAGGAACCCCCGGCCCACAGACTCCTACTACACCAATAAAGGCCCACAGCGCACACTGGGGAGCCTTCGGCCCCCTGGCTGAAGGCTCAAAACTCTCACAGAACGGGTTTTTTAAGCAAACTAAGAAACTGGGAGAAAAACGGCAGAAAACAGCAGCCCTCGGCACCTGGAGCCCTCGGCACCCAGGGGGTCCCCGGCACTCAGAGCCCTCGGCTAGTCCTCTGAAGCCGAGGGCACCTCTCCCGACATAATATCCGCGCCACATGCGCACAGATCACCGTACCCTGTACAACGTCCCATCCAATAGCCGCATTAAATGCGGCCACATGCGGCTGCCAGCGCCAACCAGTTGAGGTGACCTCTCGGCCAATGGACGCTTGACACGTGTCCCTGTCCGGCATTTATTGCTACTATAAATAACACTCCATCTCCCCATTTGTAACCAGGTCATAAACGCTGAAAACGCTCCACACTTATAATATACTTTCTCTCTATATATTTACTTGCTCTGACTTCTCTCTTATTACTCCCCGTAATAACCCCTCGGATAAGCTACCCCCGGGTACACTATCCATCATTTGGTGCTCTCGTTGAGAGGTCGAACGATCAAGTAAGAAACCCTCCCCCTTCGCCAAACACTAGCCCTCTACCAAAATGGTGAGAACAACACGTGCCAACTCCAAAAACGTAGAAGACAAGAACCTGGCCCTCGGCGACGTCAACGCCCCCGAAGCCTCTCACAGGGCTCCCGAGGGTGGTGTCATCGCTGGGCTGGAACAGGCGGCTGTCGACCTACGCCTTCAGATCCAGCAAAATGCCCCCGATGCCCGCCTCGGCATCGAGGCCAAGAAGAAAAACCGGAGCGATGACCAAGTCAGCCCTCCGGTCCTCACCATCGACGTTCATTCGGCGCTCTCCGCCTTCATCCAGACGCTCACTCAGAACCCAGGTGCCTTCGGCACCCTGGCTCCAGCTCAACCCCAGGTTGGGGAGAAACTCATACTGCCCCCTTGTTAATCCCAGTATACTTAACAAACAACAAACATAAGCAGTGAAGAAGAAGCAGATAGAAAGATATGGAGAAAATCAAACGAATCTGGTATACCGTGTAAACTGGCCGCTGCTCTCCCTGGAGAAGGAGAGCAGCGGCAACCCTAATCTCGCTCTATCTTTACGCCTCTGAACTCTAAGCCTCTATCGATCATTAGGGTTCCCGTAAGTTAGCCTCCTTTTATAGGAGAAGTTGGCTAACTTACGGGTTACAAGGAAGCCCCCGGGCTGATACACATTTGTGGCCCGTATTACACGTTTAATTGATAACTACACAAATACAAAGATAACTAACTAGATTGAACACCATAAAATATACCCAACAATCTCCCCCTTGGTGATCAATCGTGTTGAATCAGCATTGCAGCACAGATATCTTTGTCTTTGTTGTTATTGAGCTTCCTTTGTCTTTGAACTTGACTTCTGAAGAAGGCTATCTGAAGAAATCCTTGCAATCTCCCCTTTGATGTCTTCTTGACAATTTGATCTTTGATGTCGGGGGTTGAGGGACCTTCAGTATCTTGCATGTAGTCCTTGTCTTCCAAAAGTTGCTCTTGATCAGCTTGGATGAAGTCCGGTGACGCCTCTA